CAAGAGGGCTTCCTCTAGAAAATCAAGGAACTTCTCCCTGCATCCTATTTTGCCATCCTGAGGTCTTTTATTGCTGATCGAACCTTCGAGGTAGCAGTAAAGGAATCACGATCCAGCTTGGCACACATTCACGCAGGAGTGCCCCAAGGAAGTGTATTTGGTCCGTTCCTATACACCATGTACAAAAGTGACATGCCAGTTCCATCGCCCACCACAGACGCTCGCATGCTTCTGGCTACATACGCTGACGACACGGCCTTGCTTGCGTCCCACACGTCTCAGCTGGCAGCCTCGGCTGCAGTTCAAGACTGGCTGCGTGCGATGGAGCGCTGGACCAAGCAGTGGAACATTGCCATAAACTGCAGCAAGTCGGCTTGCGTCACTTTCTTTTTAAGGCTTGTGATCGACATCGTCCACATTTTCCATAGAGACACTATCAGAAATGCCACCTCTCACTGCTACTTGGGTGTACACTTGGATCACCGCCTCATTTGGAACACCCACATCACGGCAATTAGAGCAAAGTGCATTCGCAAATTAAAGAAGCTCGATTGGCTCCTGAGTTCCAAAAGCCTCCAGCTTTCGACTAAGGTTTTGCTGCTCAAGGCAATTCTTACGCCAACCTGGACGTATGCGATTGAGGTATGGGGTACTGCATCCAAGCACCAGCTAAATAGGCTGAGGGTGGTGCAGGCACGTGCTTCTCGACGGGCATCCGGGCTTCCCTGGTACGTCACTAACCAGGCCATCCAGAACGACCTATGCCTTGTTCCGGTGGGCGACCTCATAAACAATCACAGCAGTCGCTACATGGACAGGCTTCAGGCACACCCAAATCCGCTGGCTAGCAGGCTGGCCGACCCGCAATCTCTTAGAAGACTCAAGAGATTCCACCCCGGCGATTTGACCTCCCGTCTTCTTCACCAACTTGTAAATATGTAAAAATATTGTAAATATGTAGTTCAAATTGTAATCAAAGTTAAAATGGCATTGAACGTTTCCGGCAAAAATATACCATATATTCAAAAAAAAAAAAAAAAAAAAAAAAAAGGTTTTCTCGTCGGCTTTCTTATCTAAAAAATCAGAAATCCAAACTGCTTAAAAGTATAGCAAATCTGGTCTCCAAGTCGACCATTCGAGATATTTAACTGCTAGCAAAATTCTTCCAGACTTCATACTCACAAATTAATTTCGATAGTAACTCACAGTATTCTTTTCCACTCCCGCACTCCAATTGCATTTTTATGCTTGTAATCAGCGAAGATGATGTTCTTCATAATCTCAAAACAATCAAACTTTCCTTCTCCTCTGGTCTAGATCTTCTATATAGCTGCGTTCTGAGAAATTGTGCCAGCTCATTATGTAGACCACTGTCTAGACTTTTTCACTTATCGTTTTTCCCTGAAGTTTGAAAAGAATCTTTTATCATTCCGCTTCATAAAAAGGGCAGTAAATCTAATATTGAACACTATAGACCTATAGCAAAACTTAGTGCGACTCACAAATTATTCGAATTTTTAATTACTACTCAGCTTCAGCACCACTGTAGCTTAATAATGTCCCCCTCACAGCATGGCTTTATGAAACGCAGATCAACGTCTACAAATCTCCTTGAGTTTGTTGCTGTCATTAGAAACGCGCTTAAAAATATCACCCAAACCGATGTTATCTTTACAGATTTCAGCAAAGCCTTCGATCCGGTGAATCATCAGTTACTGCTGAAGAAACTTTGTCTTTTGGGTTTTCCGGTCACGTTGATCAAGTGGATTTCTTCTTATTTGTCGAACCGTACTCAAAGAGTTGCATTCAAGGGTTCATTCTCAAACCTTGTTCACGTGAACTCTGGTGTTCCTCAAGGGAGCCAGCTCGGTCCTCTTCTATTTGGCATTTTTATAAATGATCTGCCCCAAGTTATTCTCCACTCTTACGTCATGATGTACGCTGATGACGATAAACTATGTTTGCCTCTTGTGAATCCTGACTCTGCTCAGCTTTTACGAGCTGATTTAAACAAAATGTTGTTGTGGTGCACTCACAATTTATTGTTTCTTAACAACTCTAAATGTAAATACATGTCGTTTTACCGCAGAAATTGTTTCCATGCTAACTATTTCTTAGGCACGAGTGTTCTTGAACGTATCCATTCTGTAACGGATCTTGGAGTTCTATTTACCCACAACTTGAGCTTCACCGATCACATCGGTATTGGTAAAGCAAAGGGTGTCTTTGCTTTCGTAAAACGATGGTCTAAGGAATTCGATGATCCCTACACTACAAAACTCTTATATATATCTCTGGTTCAGCCCATACTTGAATATTGTTCGTGTGTATGGTCCCCTCAATATATAAGAACCTTATCGAATCGGTACTGAAACAATTCCTTTTGTTCGCTCTTCGGGGTTTGGACTGGGACCCACATCACCACCTTCCTCCGTATGCTGACAGACTACGCCTTCTGGACCTGCCCTTTCTTAAAGATCGTCGGACCTTCCATGGCGTGATGTTCCTTTATAAACTAATAAATGGACATATTTTTATACCCTTGCAGGGTATTATAATTTCAGTCACAAGTTTGCAACGCAGTGAAGGAGACGTTTCCGACCCTATAAAGTATATGTATTCTTGATCAGCATCAACAGCCGAGTCGATCTAGCCATGTCCATCCGTCCGTCTGTCCGTCTGTCCGTCTGTCCGTCTGTCCGACCGTCCGTCCGTCCGTCCGTCTGTCCGTTTCTGCGCAAACTAGTCCCTCAGTTTAAAAGCTATCTGAATGAAACTTTGCATATAGTCTTCTATATACTCTCACTGCTATATATGTCGGAACGGGCCGGATCGGACGACTATATCATATATCTGCCATACAAATGTTCGATAAATTTGTAGAAAAAAAATTATAACTTTGCTGTTCTCAACATTTTTGCACCATTTTTTAGATATGGCCATTTTATATTATTTCAGAATTTCGATAAAAATTTTATGAAAATCGGACGACTATATGATATAGCTGCCATAGGAACGATCGGGAAATTAATAGAAAACAAGAAAGGAAGCTAACTTCGGCACGCCGAAGTTTGTATACCCTTGCAGATATTCAGGGCTGCTCCGGTAATCGTAAAATTTTTTCGATTTCGTTTTGGACGAAAACGAACGCTTTTTGTTTTTAGCTGCTCAGGTTTTCGGCAAATTTCTGCTATCGGAATGTTTCGTTTCCTCATCGTTTCTCACTGCTCAAGAAGCTAACTTGTGTTTTTGGTAATAAGCAAACAACGTAAAATACTGCCTATTATATTTACAATTGCCCTTTTTATAAGCCAGAAGAAGGCAAAAAATGGTCGAGTTAAGCAAATCTAGGCACCTAAGATGCTGCCACACTTTTCACAGTTTTAATTCCGGTGGTCTCAATTAATTATTTGGTTAATTTTGACCATTTAAATAATCACATTAAATAGCATTATTCATAAACAACCATTTTGGCGCTCCTTTAAAGTTATTAATGTATTCATTTATATTTTATAAGTATTTTTAACTGGATGTTTCGTTCCACCAACAATATGGCAACCTTGGCGATAACTTTTTGCGGTGAACTTATCGACCTATCGCCAAACCGAGAAAACTGGTTGAACACGGCAAAAATTTTGTTGTCAAATCTGAGGTGGGGTCAGAAATAAATTTTTTATAAAATAACTACCTGCCAGAATGATCTTATGGTGTTGTGGAATAAACATCAATAGACCACTGAGTAAACTATTTTTTTCCTTTTGTAAATAAGATCTGATTTCATATAAAAAAAGCCATTTACTTTTCATTCCGGCCAGAAAAAGGTGCCCGTTTTTCAAATCGAAAAAATCTTTCGTTTTCGATTACCGGAGCACCAATTTCTCGTTTTCAAAAACGAAAACGAAAAAATCTTGCCGTTTTCGATTACCGGAGCAGGCCTGATTATTTCATTACATTTTACCAATACTTATTATATTTACAGTTTGACAGTTACAGTTTTACATTCACACCTTTACATTTTCTCTACATCTACCGATCGCTTCTATGTCAGCTATATGATATAATTGTCCGATTTTTATGAAATTTATACCAAAATTCTAGAATAACAAAATAAGCTTATTTCTCAGAGTAGATAAAAATACGTTGAAAAACAACGAAGTTATAATTTTTTTCATATTAATTTCCCGATCGTTCCAATGGCAGCTATAAGATATAGTCGTCCGATTTTCATGAAATTTGTATTGAAATTCTGAAATAATATAAAATGGCCATATCTAAAAAATGGTGCAAAAATGTTGAAAAACAGCAAAGTTATAATTTTTTTAGTCGTCCGATCCGGCCCGTTCCGACATATATAGCAGTGAGAGTATATAGAAGACTATATGCAAAGTTTCATTCAGATAGCTTTAAAACTGAGGGACTAGTTTGCGTAGAAACAGACAGACGGACAGACGGACATAGCTAGATCGACTCGGCTGTTGATGCTGATCAAGAATATATATACTTTATAGGGTCGGAAAGGTCTCCTTTACTGCGTTGCAAACTTTTGACTGAAATTAGAATACCCTGCAAAGGTATAAAAAATTATAGCTTGGTTGTTTTTCAACGTTTTTTTATCAACTCTAAGATATAAGCTTTTTTTATTATTTTAGAATTTTGGTATAAATTTCATAAAAATCGGACAACTATATCATATAGCTGACATAGAAGCGATCGGTAAATATATAGACTATGTAAAGCTGGGAATGTAAAACTGTAACTGTCAAATTGTAAACATAATAAGTATAGGTAAAATGTAATAAAACTCTGTGTTATGAGTGTTGTCATCATTTAAATCTATAAAATAAACATCAAAACCAATCTGCAAGGGTATACAAACTTCGGCGTGCCGAAGTTAGCTTCCTTTCTTGTTTCCAGTAATCTTAGTTGTGGTTTTTGGTGATCTTTCCTTTGTTTATATGTATGTTGTTGAGCCGGCTTGTGGTCAGGGAGGGGGTGGAGTACCAAAATAAATAAAAAGCTTTTATTTCGATTTCGTCCAATATATTTCGGTTGATCTGCGTCAACCGTCTTCAGGGCAACTGTGACAATATTCAACAATTAATATACATAACATTTAAAATAACAAACATAACTTTTTAACATACATTGAGCGGACGTGTACGCTCTGTTCGACGTGGAGTTTTGTACTGTTTTCTTTCTTGTTAAGTGTCTGTATATGTGAGCGCAGTTTTCAGTGTCAGTCTTGTAATTCAGTCGCAGTGTTGATTATGTGTAGCATTTCCAGAGTAAACCGCTTCTTGTAGTGTTGTTCTTGTTGCAGTATTGTCGTCTCCTCTAAGATCGGAGAGTGACCGTTTGTCGCACAGTGGGCCATGAGTGCTGTTTTTTTTATGTTAGTATGGTGTCGTAGTTTGTAGTCAGATCTGTGTTGGGATATTCTTGTTTTTAATTTTGATTTTGTTGTGCCATGTATATGTTATTGCATGGCTTGTTGTCGGTACCGTTGCACGGAATTTTGTAGATGACATTGTTTTTTTCTGTTGTCAATAATCTTGATTTTGTTGTATTAAAAAAGTCTTTTAACGTGTTTATTGGTTTGTGGGCTAATATTATTCCGTCTTTGTTGTAGCAATTTTATTTTGACAATCTTTCGGACAGTTTGGGTACATAAATAGTGGACATTTAAGTTTTTGGCTGTTCTGATTGTTTTTTGTTGTTAATTGTTCTTTTTTTCTTTAAAAAAGTCTTGATGATTTTGTTCGGAATATGCTCGTCCAATATGCTTATCATCCGTCTGATACAGCCGATTGCTGTATTAATAATCATGGTTTTTGGGTGTCTTGATTGGTAAATAATTATTCGTCCTGATGCAGTCGGTTTCTTATACCATTTTAATTTTATTTCGTTTCCTCGTCTATTGATTATTGAGTCTAGATAGGGTAGTTTTGCGTCTTCTTCTTATTCTATTGTAAATTTGATGTTCTTGTGGTACGAATTTAGTGTGTCAAGTGTTCTTTGAATTTCCGTGTCTTTTACAATCGCGAATAGGTCGTCTACAAATTTTGTCAGGATCCTTGGTCGTATGTCGAGCTTATTGATTGCTTTGTCTAGAAGTTCTTCCATCACAATGTCAGCGATGATTGGTGACGCGGGGAATCCTATGGGCATGCCTTTTAATTACGTGAAAATTGTGTCATTATATTTGAAATACTGTTTTCTTGTATGCAAAACCGAACTATGTCCATAAGCATTTGTTTAGGTATTTTTGTGTGCTCCTTGATTTTTGTCAATTTTTCTCGTATAGTGTATAATGCCATTTCAATTGGGATACTCGGGAAGATTGAAGCCACATCAAAAGAGATGAGTTTTTCGTCATCAAATATATATGAGTTATTTATTCTTCCTTTAAATTCTTCTGCATTTTTTATGTTGTATTTTGAGTCCGCTGTGATGTTTTTAAGTATGTGTACTATGTATTTTCATAGTCCATAAGACGGAGAACCAAGTGATGAGCAAATGGGTCGTAGAGGTGTTCCTTCCTTGTGCACTTTGGGGAGTCCATATATTTGTGGTGATGTTGCCGTCGTCGTGGTTAGTTTCTGTTTTTCCGTTTTTGTAATGATTCCCATTTTGAAGAGTTTTTCGGTTATTTCGTTGTTTTTGGTTTGCAATCTTGATGTTGGGTCCTTCCTTAATGTCCTGTATGTGCTCAAATCGTCTAGAATATCCTTCATTTTCCTGTTGTAGTCGTCCATTTCCATTGCTCCTTTTTTATTTCCTTTGTCAACCGAAATATATTGGACGAAATCGAAATAAAAGCTTTTTATTTATTTTGGTACTCCACCCCCTCCCTGACCTCAAGCCGGTTCAACAACATATTTTCCAGTAATCTTCTAAATCTCACAATCTTTTTCGCGTTTTATGTTCGCTTTACAACGAGTTGTACTTTTTGTTATATTTTGAAATGTCATTAGACTTTAACAAAAATAATATTTTAAGACACCTATCCTTGCCTCTGACCGCCTAATGTGAGTCGGAGCATATCAAAAAAAAACACCCCTTTCCGGTCTGAGGTAAGAATATGGATTTTAAAATGGCAGATATTTGCTATTCTTAAGGGGGTCTCCTCAAAAACCCGTTTTTTGGACCCTTTTTAAAAAAATTCTTATTTGAAAACGCAAAGAATAATTGAAAACTTTTTTTTATTTATTGTATTAAAAAATGTGCAAAGTAAATAAAAAAATAGTTTTTTTTCCACGATACGAGGGTTGTTCAAAGAGTAATGAGACTTCAAACTTGGTGGTGGAAAAAAAGGTGTCGTCCTGTCGGCCACGAAGTGAAGGAGACGTTTCCGACCCTATAAAGTATATATATTCTTGATCAGCATCAACAGCCGAGTCGATCTAGCCATGTCCGTCCGTCCGTCTGTCCGTCTGTCCGTCTGTCCGTCTGTCCGTCTGTCCGTCCGTCCGCCCGTCTGTCCGTTTCTACGCAAACTAGTCCCTCAGTTTAAAAGCTATCTGAATGAAACTTTGCATATAGTCTTCTATATACTCTCACTGCTATATATGTCGGAACGGGCCGGATCGGACGACTATATCATATAGCTGCCATACAAATGTTCGATAAATTTGTAGAAAAAAAATTATAACTTTGCTGTTCTCAACATTTTTGCACCATTTTTTAGATATGGCCATTTTATATTATTTCAGAATTTCGATAAAAATTTTATGAAAATCGGACGACTATATGATATAGCTGCCATAGGAACGATCGGGAAATTAATAGAAAACAAGAAAGGAAGCTAACTTCGGCACGCCGAAGTTTGTATACCCTTGCAGATATTCAGGGCTGCTCCGGTAAACGTGAAATTTTTTCGATTTCGTTTTGGACGAAAACGAACGCTTTTTGTTTTTAGCTGCTCAGGTTTTCGGCAAATTTCTGCTATCGGAATGTTTCGTTTCCTCATCGTTTCTCACTGCTCAAGAAGCTAACTTGTGTTTTTGGTAATAAGCAAACAACGTAAAATACTGCCTATTATATTTACAATTGCCCTTTTTATAAGCCAGAAGAAGGCAAAAAATGGTTGAGTTAAGCAAATCTAGGCACCTAAGATGCTGCCACACTTTTCACAGTTTTAATTCCGGTGGTCTCAATTAATTATTTGGTTAATTTTGACCATTTAAATAATCACATTAAATAGCATTATTCATAAACAACCATTTTGGCGCTCCTTTAAAGTTATTAATGTATTCATTTATATTTTATAAGTATTTTTAACTGGATGTTTCGTTCCACCAACAATATGGCAACCTTGGCGATAACTTTTTGCGGTGAACTTATCGACCTATCGCCAAACCGAGAAAACTGGTTGAACACGGCAAAAATTTTGTTGTCAAATCTGAGGTGGGGTCAGAAATAAATTTTTTATAAAATAACTACCTGCCAGAATGATCTTATGGTGTTGTGGAATAAACATCAATAGACCACTGAGTAAACTATTTTTTTCCTTTTGTAAATAAGATCTGATTTCATATAAAAAAAGCCATTTACTTTTCATTCCGGCCAGAAAAAGGTGCCCGTTTTTCAAATCGAAAAAATCTTTCGTTTTCGATTACCGGAGCACCAATTTCTCGTTTTCAAAAACGAAAACGAAAAAATCTTGCCGTTTTCGATTACCGGCGGCGATTATTTCATACATTTTACCTATTTTATTATATTTACAGTTTGACAGTTACAGTTTTACATTCACACCTTTACATTTTCTCTACATCTACCGATCGCTTCTATGGCAGCTATATGATATAATTGTCCGATTTTTATGAAATTTATACCAAAATTCTAGAATAACAAAATAAGCTTATTTCTCAGAGTAGATAAAAATACGTTGAAAAACAACGAAGTTATCATTTTTTTCATATTAATTTCCCGATCGTTCCAATGGCAGCTATAAGATATAGTCGTCCGATTTTCATGAAATTTGTATTGAAATTCTGAAATAATATAAAATGGCCATATCTAAAAAATGGTGCAAAAATGTTGAAAAACAGCAAAGTTATAATTTTTTTAGTCGTCCGATCCGGCCCGTTCCGACATATATAGCAGTGAGAGTATATAGAAGACTATATGCAAAGTTTCATTCAGATAGCTTTAAAACTGAGGGACTAGTTTGCGTAGAAACAGACAGACGGACAGACGGACATAGCTAGATCGACTCGGCTGTTGATGCTGATCAAGAATATATATACTTTATAGGGTCGGAAAGGTCTCCTTTACTGCGTTGCAAACTTTTGACTGAAATTAGAATACCCTGCAAAGGTATAAAAAATTATAGCTTGGTTGTTTTTCAACGTTTTTTTATCAACTCTAAGATATAAGCTTTTTTATTATTTTAGAATTTTGGTATAAATTTCATAAAAATCGGACAACTATATCATATAGCTGACATAGAAGCGATCGGTAAATATATAGACTATGTAAAGCTGGGAATGTAAAACTGTAACTGTCAAATTGTAAACATAATAAGTATAGGTAAAATGTAATAAAACTCTGTGTTATGAGTGTTGTCATCATTTAAATCTATAATATAAACATCAAAACCAATCTGCAAGGGTATACAAACATCGACGTGCCGAAGTTAGCTTCCTTTCTTGTTTCCAGTAATCTTAGTTGTGGTTTTTGGTGATCTTTCCTTTGTTTATATGAATGTTGTTGAGCCGGCTTGTGGTCAGGGAGGGGGTGGAGTACCAAAATAAATAAAAAGCATTTATTTCGATTTCGTCCAATATATTTCGGTTGATCTGCGTCAACCGTCTTCAGGGCAACTGTGACAATATTTAACAATTAATATACATAACATTTAAAATAACAAACATAACTTTTTAACATAGATTGAGCGGACGTGTACGCTCTGTTCGACGTGGAGTTTTGTACTGTTTTCTTTCTTGTTAAGTGTCTGTATATGTGAGCGCAGTTTTCAGTGTCAGTCTTGTAATTCAGTCGCAGTGTTGATTATGTGTAGCATCTCCAGAGTAAACCGCTTCTTGTAGTGTTGTTCTTGTTGCAGTATTGTCGTCTCCTCTAAGATCGGAGAGTGACCGTTTGTCGCACAGTGGGCCATGAGTGCTGTTTTTTTGATGTTAGTATGGTGTCGTAGTTTGTTGTCAGATCTGTGTTGGGATATTCTTGTTTTTAATTTTGATTTTGTTGTGCCTATGTATATGTTATTGCATGGCTTGTTGTCGGTACCGTTGCACGGAATTTTGTAGATGACATTGTTTTTTTCTGTTGTCAATAATCTTGATTTTGTTGTATTAAAAAAGTCTTTTAACGTGTTTATTGGTTTGTGGGCTAATATTATTCCGTCTTTGTTGTAGCAATTTTATTTTGACAATCTTTCGGACAGTTTGGGTACATATATAGTGGACATTTAAGTTTTTGGCTGTTCTGATTGTTTTTTGTTGTTAATTGTTCTTTTTTTCTTTAAAAAAGTCTTGATGATTTTGTTCGGAATATGCTCGTCCAATATGCTTATCATCCGTCTGATACAGCCGATTGCTGTATTAATAATCATGGTTTTTGGGTGTCTTGAATGGTAAATAATTATTCGTCCTGATGCAGTCGGTTTCTTATACCATTTTAATTTTATTTCGTTTCCTCGTCTATTGATTATTGAGTCTAGATAGGGTAGTTTTGCGTCTTCTTCTTATTCTATTGTAAATTTGATGTTCTTGTGGTACGAATTTAGTGTGTCAAGTGTTCTTTGAATTTCCGTGTCTTTTACAATCGCGAATAGGTCGTCTACAAATTGTGTCAGGATCCTTGGTCGTATGTCGAGCTTATTGATTGCTTTGTCTAGAAGTTCTTCCATCACAATGTCAGCGATGATTGGTGACGCGGGGAATCCCATGGGCATGCCTTTTAATTGCGTGAAAATTGTGTCATTATATTTGAAATACTGTTTTCTTGTATGCAAAACCTAACTATGTCCATAAACATTTGTTTAGGTATTTTTGTGTGCTCCTTGATTTTTGTCCATTTTTCTCGTATAGTGTATAATGCCAATTCGATTGGGATACTCGGGAAGAGTGAAGCCACATCAAAAGAGATGAGTTTTTCGTCATCAAATATATATGAGTTATTTATTCTTCCTTTAAATTCTTCTGCTTTTTTTATGTTGTATTTTGAGTCCGCTGTGATGTTTTTAAGTATGTTTACTATGTATTTTCATAGTCCATAAGACGGAGAACCAAGTGATGAGCAAATGGGTCGTAGAGGTGTTCCTTCCTTGTGCACTTTGGGGAGTCCATATATTTGTGGTGATGTTGCCGTCGTCGTGGTTAGTTTCTGTTTTTCCGTTTTTGTAATGATTCCCATTTTGAAGAGTTTTTCGGTTATTTCGTTGTTTTTGGTTTGCAATCTTGATGTTGGGTCCTTCCTTAATGTCCTGTATGTGCTCAAATCGTCTAGAATATCCTTCATTTTCCTGTTGTAGTCGTCCATTTCCATTGCTCCTTTTTTATTTCCTTTGTCAACCGAAATATATTGGACGAAATCGAAATAAAAGCTTTTTATTTATTTTGGTACTCCACCCCCTCCCTGACCTCAAGCCGGTTCAACAACATATTTTCCAGTAATCTTCTAAATCTCACAATCTTTTTCGCGTTTTATGTTCGCTTTACAACGAGTTGTACTTTTTGTTATATTTTGAAATGTCATTAGACTTTAACAAAAATAATATTTTAAGACACCTATCCTTGCCTCTGACCGCCTAATGTGAGTCGGAGCATATCATTAAGAAACACCCCTTTCCGGTCTGAGGTAAGAATATGGATTTTAAAATGGCAGATATTTGCTATTCTTAAGGGGGTCTCCTCAAAAACCCGTTTTTTGGACCCTTTTTTAAAAAAATTCTTATTTGAAAACGCAAAGAATAATTGAAAACTTTTTTTATTTATTGTATTAAAAAATGTGCAAAGTAAATAAAAAAATAGTTTTTTCCACGATACGAGGGTTGTTCAAAGAGTAATGAGACTTCAAACTTGGTGGTGGAAAAAAAGGTGTCGTCCTGGCGGCCACGAAGTGAAGGAGACGTTTCCGACCCTATAAAGTATATATATTCTTGATCAGCATCAACAGCCGAGTCGATCTAGCCATGTCCGTCCGTCCGTCTGTCCGTCTGTCCGTCTGTCCGTCCGTCCGCCCGTCTGTCCGTTTCTACACAAACTAGTCCCTCAGTTTAAAAGCTATCTGAATGAAACTTTGCATATAGTCTTCTATATACTCTCACTGCTATATATGTCGGAACGGGCCGGATCGGACGACTATATCATATAGCTGCCATACAAATGTTCGATAAATTTGTAGAAAAAAAATTATAACTTTGCTGTTCTCAACATTTTTGCACCATTTTTTAGATATGGCCATTTTATATTATTTCAGAATTTCGATAAAAATTTTATGAAAATCGGACGACTATATGATATAGCTGCCATAGGAACGATCGGGAAATTAATAGAAAACAAGAAAGGAATCTAACTTCGGCACGCCGAAGTTTGTATACCCTTGCAGATATTCAGGGCTGCTCCGGTAATCGTAAAATTTTTTTCGATTTCGTTTTGGACGAAAACGAACGCTTTTTGTTTTTAGCTGCTCAGGTTTTCGGCAAATTTCTGCTATCGGAATGTTTCGTTTCCTCATCGTTTCTCACTGCTCAAGAAGCTAACTTGTGTTTTTGGTAATAAGCAAACAACGTAAAATACTGCCTATTATATTTACAATTGCCCTTTTTATAAGCCAGAAGAAGGCAAAAAATGGTCGAGTTAAGCAAATCTAGGCACCTAAGATGCTGCCACACTTTTCACAGTTTTAATTCCGGTGGTCTCAATTAATTATTTGGTTAATTTTGACCATTTAAATAATCACATTAAATAGCATTATTCATAAACAACCATTTTGGCGCTCCTTTAAAGTTATTAATGTATTCATTTATATTTTATAAGTATTTTTAACTGGATGTTTCGTTCCACCAACAATATGGCAACCTTGGCGATAACTTTTTGCGGTGAACTTATCGACCTATCGCCAAACCGAGAAAACTGGTTGAACACGGCAAAAATTTTGTTGTCAAATCTGAGGTGGGGTCAGAAATAAATTTTTTATAAAATAACTACCTGCCAGAATGATCTTATGGTGTTGTGGAATAAACATCAATAGACCACTGAGTAAACTATTTTTTTCCTTTTGTAAATAAGATCTGATTTCATATAAAAAAAGCCATTTACTTTTCATTCCGGCCAGAAAAAGGTGCCCGTTTTTCAAATCGAAAAAATCTTTCGTTTTCGATTACCGGAGCACCAATTTCTCGTTTTCAAAAACGAAAACGAAAAAATCTTGCCGTTTTCGATTACCGGAGCAGGCCTGATTATTTCATTACATTTTACCTATACTTATTATATTTACAGTTTGACAGTTACAGTTTTACATTCACACCTTTACATTTTCTCTACATCTACCGATCGCTTCTATGGCAGCTATATGATATAATTGTCCGATTTTTATGAAATTTATACCAAAATTCTAGAATAACAAAATAAGCTTATTTCTCAGAGTAGATAAAAATACGTTGAAAAACAACGAAGTTATCATTTTTTTCATATTAATTTCCCGATCGTTCCAATGGCAGCTATAAGATATAGTCGTCCGATTTTCATGAAATTTGTATTGAAATTCTGAAATAATATAAAATGGCCATATCTAAAAAATGGTGCAAAAATGTTGAAAAACAGCAAAGTTATAATTTTTTTAGTCGTCCGATCCGGCCCGTTCCGACATATATAGCAGTGAGAGTATATAGAAGATTATATGCAAAGTTTCATTCAGATAGCTTTAAAACTGAGGGACTAGTTTGCGTAGAAACAGACAGACGGACATAGCTAGATCGACTCGGCTGTTGATGCTGATCAAGAATATATATACTTTATAGGGTCGGAAAGGGCTCCTTTACTGCGTTGCAAACTTTTGACTGAAATTAGAATACCCTGCAAAGGTATAAAAAATTATAGCTTGGTTGTTTTTCAACGTTTTTTTATCAACTCTAAGATATAAGCTTTTCTATTATTTTAGAATTTTGGTATAAATTTCATAAAAATCGGACAACTATATCATATAGCTGACATAGAAGCGATCGGTAAATATATAGAAGCGATCGGTAAATATATAGACTATGTAAAGCTGGGAATGTAAAACTGTAACTGTCAAATTGTAAACATAATAAGTATAGGTAAAATGTAATAAAACTCTGTGTTATGAGTGTTGTCATCATTTAAATCTATAATATAAACATCAAAACCAATCTGCAAGGGTATACAAACTTCGGCGTGCCGAAGTTAGCTTCCTTTCTTGTTTCCAGTAATCTTAGTTGTGGTTTTTGGTGATCTTTCCTTTGTTTATATGTATGTTGTTGAGCCGGCTTGTGGTCAGGGAGGGGGTGGAGTACCAAAATAAATAAAAAGCTTTTATTTCGATTTCGTCCAATATATTTCGGTTGATCTGCGTCAACCGTCTTCAGGGCAACTGTGACAACATTTAACAATTAATATACATAACATTTAAAATAACAAACATAACTTTCTAACATACATTGAGCGGACGTGTACGCTCTGTTCGACGTGGAGTTTTTTACTGTTTTCTTTCTTGTTAAGTGTCTGTATATGTGAGCGCAGTTTTCAGTGTCAGTCTTGTAATTCAGTCGCAGTGTTGATTATGTGTAGCATCTCCAGAGTAAACCGCTTCTTGTAGTGTTGTTCTTGTTGCAGTATTGTCGTCTCCTCTAAGATCGGAGAGTGACCGTTTGTCGCACAGTGGGCCATGAGTGCTGTTTTTTTTATGTTAGTATGGTGTCGTAGTTTGTAGTCAGATCTGTGTTGGGATATTCTTGTTTTTAATTTTGATTTTGTTGTGCCATGTATATGTTATTGCATGGCTTGTTGTCGGTACCGTTGCACGGAATTTTGTAGATGACATTGTTTTTTTCTGTTGTCAATAATCTTGATTTTGTTGTATTAAAAAAGTCTTTTAACGTGTTTATTGGTTTGTGGGCTAATATTATTCCGTCTTTGTTGTAGCAATTTTATTTTGACAATCTTTCGGACAGTTTGGGTACATATATAGTGGACATTTAAGTTTTTGGCTGTTCTGATTGTTTTTTGTTGTTAATTGTTCTTTTTATACCCTTGCAGGGTATTATAATTTCAGTCAGAAGTTTGCAACGCAGTGAAGGAGACGTTTCCGACCCTATAAAGTATATATATTATTGATCAGCATCACCAGCCGAGTCGATCTAGCCATGTCCGTCTGTCCGTCCGTCTGTCCGTCCGTCTGTCCGTCTGTCCGTCCGTCTGTCCGTCTGTCCGTTTCTACGCAAACTAGTCCCTCAGTTTTAAAGCTATCTGAATGAAACTTTACATATAGTCTTCTATATACTCTCACTGCTATATATGTCGGAACGGGCCGGATCGGACGACTATATCATATAGCTGTCATACAAATGTTCGATAAATTTTTAGAAAAAAAATTATAACTTGGATGTTTTTTAACATTTTTGCACAATTTTTAAGACATGGCCATTATATATTACTTTTGAATTTTGGTAAAAATTTTATGAAAATCGGACCACTATATCTTATAGCTGCCATAGGAACGATAGGGAAGGTAATAGAAAAAATTATAACTTCGTTCTTTTCCAACGTATTTTCATCTACTTTGAGACATGAGCTTCTGGTATTATTTCAAAATTTTGGTATAAATTTAATGAAAATCGGACGACTATATCTTATAGCTGCCATAGGAACGATAGGGAAAGCGATAGAAAAAATTATAACTTCGTTGTTTTTCAACGTATTTTCATCTACTTTGAGACATGAGCTTTTAGTATTATTTCAGAATTTTGGTAACAATATTATGAAAATCGGAGAACTATATAATATAGCTGCCATATAAGTGATCCGTAGATGTAGAGAAAATGTAAAGCTGGGAATGTATAACTGTAACTGTCAAACTGTAAACATATTAAGTATAGGTAAAATGTTATGAAACTCCGTTTAGTGTCTGTTTTCGGCATTATAATTTATAATATAAATATGAAAACCACTCTGCAAGGGTATACAAACTTCGGCGTGCCGAAGTTAGCTTCCTTTCTTGTTTTTCTTTAAAAAAGTCTTGATGACTTTGTTCGGAATATGCTCGTCCAATATGCTTATCATCCGTCTGATACAGCCGATTGCTGTATTAATAATCATGGTTTTTGGGTGTCTTGAATGGTAAATAATTATTCGTCCTGATGCTGTCGGTTTCTTATACCATTTTAATTTTATTTCGTTTCCTCGTCTATTGATTATTGAGTCTAGATAGGGTAGTTTTGCGTCTTCTTCTTATTCTATTGTAAATTTGATGTTCTTGTGGTACGAATTTAGTGTGTCAAGTGTTCTTTGAATTTCCGTGTCTTTTACAATCGCGAATAGGTCGTCTACAAATTTTGTCAGGATCCTTGGTCGTATGTCGAGCTTATTGATTGCTTTGTCTAGAAGTTCTTCCATCACAATGTCAGCGATGATTGGTGACGCGGGGAATCCCATGGGCATGCCTTTTAATTGCGTGAAAATTGTGTCATTATATTTGAAATACTGTTTTCTTGTATGCAAAACCGAACTATGTCCATAAACATTTGTTTAGGTATTTTTGTGTGCTCCTTGATTTTTGTCCATTTTTCTCGTATAGTGTATAATGCCAATTCAATTGGGATACTCGGGAAGAGTGAAGCCACATCAAAAGAGATGAGTTTTTCGTCATCAAATATATATGAGTTATTTTTTCTTCCTTTAAATTCTTCTGCATTTTTTATGTTGTATTTTGAGTCCGCTGTGATGTTTTTAAGTATGTGTACTATGAATTTTCATAGTCCATAAGACGGAGAACCAAGTGATGAGCAAATGGGTCGTAGAGGTGTTCCTTCCTTGTGCACTTTGGGGAGTCCATATATTTGTGGTGATGTTGCCGTCGTCGTGGTTAGTTTCTGTTTTCTAGGCTAGGGTAAACTATTTTAACCGCATGATTCGTCAGAAACTATTTGAATATAACATTGCAAAATGGAATCTTAAACTGTCGAAATTGGACAAAAATTCCAGGCCTTTTTGGAAGCTTACTAAAATTATTAAGATCAAAAAATAGTTTCTCCTAAGTTTCATACACAATAACAATGTGTTTTCCAAAAGAGCAGAAAAACAGATATCTTAGCAGAAGTTTTTGAATTAAAACATCACATTACTGAGAAACTCAGACTATAATACCTCAACTGTAGTCCACAATACTTTAGGCGAATTAAATAATTCGAATGACTTGACTTTCACACCTGAAATAACTCCTAAGGACATCGACGCCATAATAAAGTCACTAAAAAAGAATAAATCGCCTGGCATTGATAAAATTCCAAACATTTGTCTAAAAAATTTACCAAAAATTGCGATAGACTTTCTTGCTCTAATCATGAACATATGTCTTCAAATTGGTTATTTCCCCAAAAATTTCAAAATTGCAAGAATTATTCCAATTCCAAAGCCAGGAAAGCCACTAGTCCATAAGACGGAGAACCAAGTGATGAGCAAATGGGTCGTAGAGGCGTTCCTTTCTTGTGCACTTTGGGGAGTCCATATATTTGTGGTGATGTTGCCGTCGTCGTGGTTAGTTTCTGTTTTTCCGTTTTTGTAATGATTCCCATTTTGAAGAGTTTTTCGGTTATTTCGTTGTTTTTGGTTTGCAATCTTGATGTTGGGTCCTTCCTTAATGTCCTGTATGTGCTCAAATCGTCTAGAATATCCTTCATTTTCCTGTTGTAGTCGTCCATTTCCATTGCTCCTTTTTTATTTCCTTTGTCAACCGAAATATATTGGACGAAATCAAAATAAAAGCTTTTTATTTATTTTGGTACTCCACCCCCTCCCTGACCTCAAGCCGGTTCAACAACATATTTTCCAGTAATCTAAATCTCACAATCTTTTTCGCGTTTTATGTTCGCTTTACAACGAGTTGTACTTTTTGTTATATTTTGAAATGTCATTAGACTTTAACAAAAATAATATTTTAAGACACCTATCCTTGCCTCTGACCACCTGATGTGAGTCGGAGCATATCATTAAAAAACACCCCTTTCCGGTCTGAGGTAAGAATATGGATTTTAAAATGGCAGATATTTGCTATTCTTAAGGGGGTCTCCACAAAAACCCGTTTTTTGGACCCTTTTTAAAAAAATTCTTATTTGAAAACGCAAAGAATAATTGAAAACTTTTTTTATTTATTGTATTAAAAAATGTGCAAAGTAAATAAAAAAATAGTTTTTTCCACGATACGAGGGTTGTTCAAAGAGTAATGAGACTTCAAACTTGGTGGTGGAAAAAAAGGTGTCGTCCTGGCGGCCACGATTCAGGGTCTCCAGAGCGTCCGAAATGAAAAAAACGGGGTTATAATCAGAATAGATGTCATTTTCGGGCGACGGAACAGATTAAAACAAAAAAAATTTTAACAAAATGGCGGCCATTCAAACAAAAATTTCGATTTTGGGCTTTTTTTTTTTTGTAGTTTAGTGTAAAAAAAAAATAAAAAAAAAATAGAAAAAAATATTTTAAAAAATCTGTTCCGTCACCCGAGAATGGTGACAGTTCTGCGTCGATTCCACTTTGTTTCAAGAAAATCGGTTCAGTTAAACTGGAGATATCATGGCCGCCAGTTCGAAAAACGTGGTTTCGAGATAAACGCGTTTGAAGCGTGAAAAAAGCTCATTTTGCGAAGACCTTGCTTCACAAAAAAGGCTGTATCTTCTAAAGTATTTCGAATTTCTAAAAATCCTTTTGGGAACTTATACACAACATCCCAAGCTATAAATAAATGCAAAAAGAAAAAAAAAACCAAAAAAAAAGTTGCCCAATGAGAAGATAATTAATAAATAAATAAATAAATAAGCCTCTTGCATTCTGATAGGAGATACCAAGGGAGTTGATTAGTTTTTTGGGACGGAATTAACAGACGTAGAAGGCGCAGTGGGCAAATCAGGCCTAGGAAGAGTAATTCCTACTGGCCGCTTTTTATAACCTTGCAGGGTTTTATAATTTCAGTCAGAAGTTTGCAACGCAGTGAAGGAGACGTTTCCGACCCTATAAAGTATTTATAATCTTGATCAGCATCAACAGCCGAGTCGATCTAGCCATGTCCGTCTGTCTGTCCGTCCGCCTGTCCGTCCGTCTGTCCGTTTCTACGCAAACTAGTCCCTCAGTTTTAAAGCTATCTGAATGAAACTTTGCATATAGTCTTTTATATACTCTCACTGCTATATATGTCGGAACGGGCCGGATCGGACGACTATATCATGTAGCTGCCATACAAATATTCGATAAATTTTTGGAAAAAAAATTTTAACTTGGCTGTTTTTTTAGATATAGCCATTTTATATTATTCCAGAATTTTGGTAAAAATTTTATGAAAATCGGACCACTATATCTTATAGCTGCCATAGGAACGATCAGGAAATAAATCGAAAAAAATTAGAACTTCGTTGTTTTTCAACGTATTTTAAGCTACTTTGACACATGAGCTTCTGGTATTATTTCAAAATTTTGGTATAAAT